TCCGAAATCCCCCGACAGGTGAGTGCGCTGGGGGGACCCGGCCCCCAACCGGGTGCCCTGCCCAGCCAGGCCGCCCGGGACCTCCCGAGGGCCCCTGCCGGTCACCCGGGCGGCCCGGATCGCCACTCAGCTTTTTTTTTTTAATTGGACCATTTCTTGAGCGCATGGGCCATTTGCTAATTTACCCTTCTCTGTTTCGTTCCAATTCTAACTTTCTCTGTCATTTCTAATTGGCTCTTGTTGAATTCCCTTAACCCCCTTGCTTAACCCCCTTGCTGTCAATATTGCAGGAAAATAGGGTCAGAGTTTCTCTCCAGTTCATAAGGGGCTCCCGAGCTTCCGGTTCATTCTCTTGGCTCTCTCATTTGCATAGTAGTCATGTGCTGCTTCTGTTGACATTGCTGTGGACGCGATTAAACCACCAGTACTTTTCCATCTTTCTACGACACCACAGTGCTCGTGGTGCGTCTGGTGGGATCTACCCGCCTAGTGATTTGCAAAATAGAAGTGATGCACGTGGCGCGTTTTGCCTGTATGTTTTTGTTGTGACCCGCCAGGCCAGCACATCCCGCCAGATGCGGCGCGAGCACTGCCACGTCGTAGAAAAATGGCTGGGAAAAGTACTGGTGGTTTAGCCTTCTGTTGCACGGGCGCACTGCACTGATAACTCCCTTTGTTTCAAGTCCTCCATTTCTGCTGGTTCCGTCTTCTGCCATTGGACCCCCTTGCTGTCAATCTTTATGCGCTTTGTTTCTTCCTCGCTTTTTCTTCTGCTACCGTCTTCGCATGAATAGAACACCTGGTCATTATCGCTGCATCTGGACTGAACAGTGCCGCACACACAGCTATAATGACTGGGCGTTATATTCGCGTGAAGACAGTAGCTTCTTGTCAGTTATTCATTCAAATTGAAATTTGGTTGGACCTCGCTCAAAATTGAAGACGCGCATTGTCAGGACGCCATTTCGACCCTATCTTTGGTCTCACAGACTCACAGTTTAGCAGCGCCTGGCTCCTTTGGTAGGATCCTTCTTCTGGAGAATCCTTCCCCCTGCTGGAGGGGGCCTAAGTTCACAAGATATCTTCCATGTGAAAGAACGTGCCTCAATCGGAGAGCAATCGAAAAGAAGGCCTCACTGTCATCGAAAATGCGGATCTTCTTGTTGAGTCCTCACCTTTCTATCTGCCCTCTCAATTCTGGCAGCAGTTCACCCACGCCTCTCTGTCTTCCATCCGAACCCACCATCACAACCTCCAGGTCTCTCATTCCTTGTACCCTTTACCGTTCTTCCTTCCTTGCCTGACTTCGCATCCCCATATCCCGGCCCCAGGCCCAACAGGTCGTATGTTCGTGCTAGGAAAGTGGGAACCTGCCACTACAATGGTGCCAGTTCACGTCTCCAGAGCGCGGAAATAAATCGGGTATCCCAAAGAAAGCCATAGTGAAGATAGCCAAGAAAGGGATATAACGGATCTGTTGTCAATCATGTTGCTTGCTATTGAGGTAAAACTGTTTCATTGTTGTTGCATTGGCTCATCTTGAGTGTGCTTCATTGTCTGCAATAGAGGTAAGCTGATTCGATGTTGGATCTATTAATTTGGGTGGAACAGGGGTTGTTGTGGTGACAAGTTACCTCTATAATTGTGGTCGATGTGCCTCCGTGTTCCTAGCATGTAGGAGCCACGTTGCCTGTGACATCTGTCTGCGCCGTGCCATTCAATGCAGCAACTGTGACTGCGAAAACTGGATGCGGTGCTTACACAGTCCACACCCGAACCGGTCCTGTCCGGTCTGTAGGGATGGTCACTTACCATAGGCAATAACTGCTCCTTGACTCAAAATCTTGTGTAACCCAAACACCAATGAACCTCATGTGCTATTCCAGCGGTGAGTGTTTAGAATTCTGCGAAGCCCATCATATACCTCTCGCCTGCCCTACCCTTGCACTCTGCTTTCCCCCTACCTCACGCCCTGACAAACTTACCTCCTGTCCCTTTCCCTCCGCCCTCTCCTTATGTGCAACTAGGAAATACATACGAATGAGCATCAGTAAGAGTACAGACAAAGAATAAGTTGAAGATTTGAAGAGAAATGAACAGGAGTATGACGACGAACGACAGACACAAAGACTAAGCATATGCTGAAGATCTGAAGTGAAATGAACAGCTGGAGATTTGAAGTGAAATGAACAGCTGGAGATCTGAAGAGAAATGAACAGGAGTATGAAGATCTGAAGAGAAGTGCACAGGAGCATACCTTCCCCTTTACTCTGCCTCTTATTATAACGTGCAAGTGGGCCGTTAAGGCACACGGGGATGTGGGCAGCTGCCGCTCAACCACCATCAACGTGGGCAGCCTTGTACGTGCGAGGCAAAGTGAAAGAGGAGCTGTTGCCCCAAAGAAACCCTAGCTAAACACAGTTGAAAGAGGAGCTGTTGCCCCAAAGAAACCCTAGCTAAACACGGTTCAAAATGGTTCTATTATGATTCGTGCTGTCTGTTAAAGAGAGAATTTTTTTTTAAGTGTTGGGCGGACTCAGTCCGGTTCTACTCATCTGGTTGGAATAGGGGTTGTTGTGGGGGAAGCTTATAACACACATAAAAATAAATTAAACAAGATTTGCCTGAGCATTACATCCGAATTCCGTACCAAATTTGAAATAAAAATAAAATACGGAAAATAAATACTAATAATAAAAATAACTAAAAATAAAAAGAGAATTAAATTTAGTGAGTGTGTGAGCATGTTTTCGACACCGCCATCTTTGGCGATTTTTCATTTCTTTTTGGCATAGCTAAATGCCCTGAAAATTTATAGATGTGCACTTCACATAATACAAAACCCACGAAAAAAGTTTCAAAAAATAATAAAATTGTTTAGACCCCGAACTAAAGTGAAAACAAAAAGTAAAAAGTGAAAAAATACGTGGGCGAGCACGTTTTGACACCGCCATCTTTGGCGATTTTTAATTCTTATTTGGATTAGTCAAATGACTTGAAAATTTACAGGCATCTACCTCACGTCATAGAGAACTCACAGAAAAAAATTCAGAAAAAAATAATTATTTTTAGGCCCCAAAATAATTTTTGGCGGGGGCCGAACGCCGCCGGATTCGGACCCCGTACGGGACCCCGAACGCCCGTACGTACGGAGGTCGGCCCGGGGACCTCCGTACGTATGGGCTGGTGACCCTGTATTTTACACAGACCCGGGCATTATATGGCACTCATTCGTGCAGCTGCCCAGTGGGAACTGTGGGATGGTGGGACGATGAGTCAGGTCATTTTCGACGTGAATGAATTTTTGCGAGCGTTGTTGAATCATACTTTATTCTGGATTATTGACCGACTCTCATGTGACACCTGTCGGGACAGAGACGCGGTGCGCCTTGGCTGTGGAATGCATCATCTATGCCATAGCCATTATCAATCTATTGCGAATGCCGCCGTCTGTCCTGAAGGGTGTCCAACATTTCCTCATTGTACACATCCCTATCACCCAGATATACGCTGTCCCTATTGTGCCCAAGGACGCTATCAGAACTGTATGATGCCGCACTGTGATGAACGTCCTGCTGTGTTTTTGACATGTGGACA